ATCAAGACCTTAAACTGTGACCTACTTTCAAAATACAGATTAAAGTTCCAAATATGTTAAGCCCCAGTTTCAGAGCTCCCATAGTTACTCTATGCATTGTAGTTTTTAGGTAAAATTTTGAGCAGCTTCTTAAATAATTTCTCATTTTATATGAATTTGAAAAGAATGTAATATGTACTCTGTAAAATCTGAAGTGCAGAATTTCTTTATTTTTAGTTTTTTGAGTTGGGTCTCACTGTGTTGTTTCGGCTAGAGTGCAATGTTACAACCATGGCTCACTGCAGACTTGATTTCCTAGGCTCAGATGATTTATTCTGCTTCAACCTCTCCTGTAGCTGGGACTACTACAGGAGCTCATTACCATGCCCAGCTAATATTTATTTTTAGTTATTTTTTTTTAGATGAGATCTCTACAAAAAAAAAAAAAAATTCGCTGTATTGCCTAGGCTGACCTTGAACTCCTGGGCTCAAGCAATCCTCTAGCCTCGGTCTCTCAAAGTGCTGGCGTTACAGATGCAAGTCAATGTGCTTGACCTCTAATATAGAATTTAATGACAATTACATGATAAAAATGTTTTCTCCTGAAATATATAGGGTAATTTATAATAGAAACATATATATGTAAATTTTGATCTTACATTTTCTAGTGTACTATAGTCAAATGAGTAAAACCATCTTGATTGGATCTGTAATGATTAACTTACAGTTGGTCTGCAGAACGTTTCCACTTATGCCAATGGTTTTATTAAAGAAAAACAAAATTTACCAAAATAAAGTTTTCTCAGCTGCTCAGTCAATAGATGACTTTGGAACTGGAAATAAAACATAGACCACAAAGACAGTATACTTAAACTCTTATCAATTAGATTTTAATCTACTATAATACAAAAACAATCTAGTATATGGCACTGGAAATCTGGAAATCATTATAGTTTAGGGGAAGTGATATAGGACTACAACTAAGAAAGCAGTCATCTAAAGCAGGAAGTTTTAGGAAGGCCATGGTAACTACAGATGAGTGTTGTGGGATTAGAGAGCTATGAACAAAATAGTTTTGATTCAGATCTTTGAAAAAGGCTCATCAAAAAGGGTCCTTTTTTAGGGACCTGAAGTTTTCTCCACAGATTCATCTTCAGTCAATATTTTCTTTTCACTTTATATACTGTACTTGGGTGAGTTTAGCCATTTTTTTTTATAGCTTTAACATTATCTATGCTTAAGAAGTTTCTACCATTAGTCCAAATCTTTCCCCTTAGTTTTTTTTAGTAAATTTTACTAACATTTTTCCCAGGTATGTTCTGACATGCATATTAATCTTAATGGTATATATTCAGTCCTGAATCCATTGTCTTTCACCAATATCCTTTTCCCGTCAAAGGTCATTTCCCATCATCCTAGTGACTTGCAGGAATATCCAACAGAGAACCTAATCCACACATATGAAAATCATTCTTCATTCCCCCATCCTTCTCATCTGTGCCAACTAGTTTGAATGCTATTGATCCTATCTCCTTTTCCCCCTTTAAAACCTGAACTCCTTCAGTAGTCTTCCAATACATGCTCCTGTTTTTACTTTTATATCACATGAACAACTGATTGATTTCAATAAAATAAATTTCACCATATATCTTACCAGTTTAAAATCCCTCAGTGGTCCCTTTACTTTCAGAATCAAATTAGCTCTTAATAATATTTGCCATTGAATACATTCTGGTTTCATCACATGTATTACTTATTCTCATTTCAAGGATATATCTATAATCTTCATAAAACTTTAATAGCTCACATTAGGATGTTTAATTTTTCCTGGTGCTACTGTTGTTTAACTTTACTCTGTAAATTACATTTACACATTTAAAAACATGTAGTAAATAAAATAAATGGTTGCTCCTGTTCAGCAAAAAATACATAAGTACACATTATTTGAGATCAAATAAGATAATATAGGTAAAGTACTAACCCAGTGCACGGTCTAATCAATATTAATTTCCTTTTTACTCTAGAGGAAAAGGAGAATGCTTAGTCTGTGGGACATGAAACTCATATCAATTTTATATAATAATGCCCTATTATTTCATCCATAATTAAGGTATTCATATTAAGAGTTTACAGAGCTTTGTGGAGCTGCAAATTATAAAAGGCTTATTTGAGAGTCAAAAGAAGCAAGTGATTAATTTACTTGAATGTAAGTTTTGCTCAAATCAGTAAAAACAAAGTTATAATACTTAAAGGTAGAAGTAGACATACATCCTGGAAACTAAAGGTCTTCTTCAGGACCTGATCGAGGAACTAATTCCTATGGGGAGCAATTAGAAAACAAGCCTTTGCCTGAGTTCCTAGAAAGGATGGTTTAAAAAAAAGATGTATACAGTAAGACGAATGACCTGAAAAGCAAAGTTACTAGTTAAATTGTAAAGCACTTACTTCGCACAAAAAGTCTCACCTTAGATCGAAGTAGTGAAAAACAAAGGAACAATGTCTTTGCTTGGTTTCAGGCACAGAGTGTGATTATAGCTGATTAAGATATATGCTTTGGAGATTTACCTAAGGATAAAGCTAAGGAAGGATCCAAGAGGAATGGCTGAGAATGAGAAATGGTATCTTAGTAAAGGCATAACTTAACTCTGTGCCTCTCAAAGTAAAGCAATTTGGTGTCACTATTTTTTGCTTTGGATTTGTGCAAGGAAGGCACTATATTTTGGTGTGGGTATTTCTCTTTTTTCATTGTATTCATCTAAATAATGCCAATCAAATGAGAGGTGACAGAAAACGGCACTCAAGAAAATTAGCTACAGCTCATTAAAAAGAGAACCAGACTTCTAATTGCCTTATATTGATGATTACTTTTTTAAACATCAAAAATAATTAAGTGCATTCTACAAGTAGGTGCTAGTTTCATAACAATCAGGATATAGGCAATGGATAGAGTTTTCCCTGAAATTGGCTGGAATATGGCACTGAAATAAGAATTTCAACTTGGAAAGGAATACAAAATGTCAGAAAATTTCCATATCAAAGTAAATCAGAGGAATAGAGACATTAAGGAAAACAAAAAGGGACAAATGGAAAATGTACCAATGTCTACTGAAAATAATAATCTTTCTTTAAAATATAGAAAAATGAATGGGAATAATGTAAATAAAAACTATATTCCTACATGATAATGATTATTTGTGATTCACTAGCAGGCACTTACGCAAAAAATCCTTTTTTTCCTTCAAGACTAATACCTCAGACTTCTTTCACTTTTTAATGAGCTTCATACTGCCCCAAATATTTTTAATTGTGTTATATAACTTGTCAATATTCAAAATATTCTTAACACTCTTCTAGCTTCATTGCTCTATACTTTTAACTTGTTTCTTTTATGTGCATTCTTGCCTCTATGTTTGTGGTGATGACAGAGGCAATGTCATTAACTAAAATACGTAATCCAGATTTTAATAAGAGATATGAAAAAATTAAAGCAAATAAATAGAATAGACAGAAAAAGCAAGAAGGCAAAGACTATCCTTTTGTAGACAGGCTGATCAGGAAAATCCTCTTAGTAGAGGTGAATTTTGAGCACAGTACATAATAAAGCAGAAAGCAAATAATTAGCAATGACCTGTCTTTTGAGCAGAGAGAATAGCAAGTAAAATCCTCTGAAGTAGGAACAATCTTAGAATGTTTAAGGCACATCAAGGTGGTCAATGTTTAAGGCACATCAAGGTGGTCATCATTACTGGAGTGGTACAGGATGACAGAGAAAATAAGGAGACAAACCTGAAGATGTGGTAATGTGGGGCATTGTAGGTATGCAATAGAATGTAAATCTTATTCTGTAAGAGAAAGGTAATAGAGGTTTAAAAGCAGGTTAATGACACAATCTGATAAAAGTTTTAAAAAGTCACTCTGGCAACCGTGGAAAGAAGCCGATCTATGTTTTAAAAAGACACTCTGGCAAGAGTGGAAAAAATCAGATGACTTAGGCAGTTATTTGAGTCCCCATGAGAAACAATCATGACCTGTATGAGATGGCCTTCAGATACATTCATTTAAAAAATGTTTGAGTATTGGAGATATTTGCAATATACAGGCAACCAAACTTGATGGATTACACTTATAGTGCAGGGTGAAGAGAAAAAGCATAGTTGATTGCTAGATTTTTATTCGGAAAAAATGGATAAATGGGGATTCCATTTATTATGATGAAGAAGTTTGGGTGAAGCAGCCTGGGAGGATAAAAAATCAAGAGATTTTTTTCAGGGCATGTGATGCTGAGATACCTGGAGAAGATGTTGAAGAATGAGTTTGATATATGAATCTGGACAGGACAAGAGATATAAGTTAGGGAATCACTCATGTATTGATTGTATTTCTTTCTTGTGTAGAAAATAAAAATCCAAATGATTATCTAGCTTATTTATTTATAAATTAATTACAAAATATTTTCTTCTAAGTCTTCTCCTTTCTTTGAATAAAACTATATTATTTCTTGGGCATTAACAAAAATCTGATTATTGTGCATGACAGGACAGGCAGAATGTACAAGATTCTTAACTAGATTTTTCTTAAGTGAGTTATAATCCTTATACAATTGTAAGAAAATTTACTTCCTTTTGTTATTTTCTATACTTTCTCCCCAGAAAAAGAGGAAAAAAGGTAAATACTTTAGTTTCTCAAATCAAATGCTAAAAGTATGACAAATAAAGTAGTTTTTTTGCTTAGCATAGTATTTCCTGGAACACCGACACAATTTCAAGTCAAAGTTAAATGCAATGCATACTAATTATTTGCCTGGCTCTGTTAGAATTAGTGTATTATAAAGCAACTTTTATCTCATTTATAAATTTACAGAAGAAATAAGAAACCTATAGGTTAAAAAATATGAGTACAATAACACAATATAAATTATTAATATGCAAACACTATAATTGGTTGAAGGAAGAGGTAGAGACCATGGTGGTGCCGGCTTTTCAGCAATATAATCATATCCAGATATGTGCAGAGACTAGAACAATAATTTGAAAGCCATAACTAAGCATGATTTACTTACCAAGTGGTTGGCCTGCGATGATCCTGGCATTTTCTCCGGCCACTGCAGCCCTCGCATGTCGCTCACTCATGTACTGTACAAATGCATAACCTTTGTGAACGGAGCATCCAACTATTTTTCCATACTTCGAAAAAATGGCTTCAATGTCAACTTTCTTGACAATGGCTGTGTTTAGATTGCCAATGAAAACACGGGAGTTGATGGACTTGGGGTCATTCTTATTGGTGACGTTGCTGGTTTGTGTTTTGCCAGTCATGGTTGGCTCACCTTGTTTTAATCCTTAAACAGACAAACAAACAAACAAACAAATAATCAAAAGGTAAATCATTAGACTGAATGGATATCTCGGTTTTTTTAAACAGCTTTCCACTATGAAAATTAGACTCAGGAAAACTCAAATCTCTAAGAATAATCAATTTTGTAAATAAAATTTAGTAATATAAAATGTAAACACTATTGCTGAATGCAGTAGAAAAATACTCATAATGTTTTAACATATAGTTATAATTCCTTATTTATTTAGTCAAAATTCGACCCAGAATAAAGGCAGAATATTTTACAATTGTTTTTATTTTTAAGTCCAACCATTTTGTAAAAGAAAACTTGAAGAAAATCTGCTCTTTTCTATCAACAACAAAGAAAATCCAATATGGTTGAGGTCTGATGAAAAATGAAATACAGTAATATAACCTCTATTTACCATTTGAGTACATGTGTTTCTATTTCTACACTTTCTATAATAGGTAAACACATTGTCTACTTCAATGTCACATCCCTTCTATCAAAAACTAACAATTCATTTCATTAAAGGCTGTGGAAGAAAAAAAATTAAGTCACAAATTTAATCAGAAAGTGTTACATAAGAAAAACATAATTTTGAAAATAAGAGACTTAACCAAAATGAATACTATACATGCTACTTATTTGAATTAATAACACATGTCAGTTTCTAAAAAAAATAAAAATTTAAACGCATGTGAGCCAGTGCACATCAATGGTCAGCAAATTAGTAAACTGGGTAACTGTTGACAGTTTTTTAAAGTTCATTTTTAAGATAATTGAACTAAAGATTCCTATAATGCCTAAGGACTGCTAGTATGTTTTCAAAACATTTTCTGAGTTTGGCAGAATGTTTAATTGTGTTTACTTAAATTCAATGAAACTTTTATTTTTAACTACTCTAGCACTTACCAATTTATTTTTAAGGCTTAAAAAATCATTCATTCATTTAGCAATACTTATTAGGCACCTATATTTCACCACATATCATCTGCAGTATCTATTAATTTACAGAAACTATTATGGTGAAACTAAAATTTCAACAAGCTTACACTCTCTGACATTGCTGATCATTGTTGAGCATTAGTTAATTAGTTCACTTTGTCAGTAACAACTACATTTTTATATGAAGACTCTTTGAAAATACTGCAATTATAAAAATAAGTGCATCTGATTTTTAAGAATCAGTTTAAATGACATTTCTAATTAAAGCATTAAGTTGGTAGAAGTCTTTAAGCCATATAAATTGGATATGCTTGAAAATGTACTCACTATGCACTTAAACCAGGTACTTCTGAAATCAAGAGCAACAAAGTAACATAAAAAGTTTGGAATTAAGCGGTTCTTTATTGTATCTGGGATTATTAAAGCTTTACTTCATGTTGGTCAGTCAACATTATAAATATCTCCTTATGAGGAAAGTCAATTTAATAAACAAAACTTTCAGCTATTTACATAAAATGGCATAAGACATCTTTAGAAACAAGGATTATAGCACCGCCTTGTATTGTTTCAGATTAGCTACATTTAAGTAATACCTTTATGAATTATTCAAGATAGGGTTGAATAAAGGAAAGCTGAAAAAATTTTGTTTTAATCTTGCAATTTAAGCTATTGCATAATCCAAGACAAATGCCCTAAGAATTAACTGAAACAAGAAAAAACAAAGTAGCTATGCAGAGTCAGTTGCCTTTCTTACAAATCCAGGCGAACATCAGTAACACAATCCATAGAAAGCATATTGTTTTCTTTTCTTTTTCTCATGTGATATATATTTTTAGAAATATCATAGAGTTATTTTCAAGGGTGAACAATTCTTATGGTTGACATTTTACTTCCAGGACAGGATACATTGGTTAAAATGCAAACACAAGAATTGTAAGATGAGGTCAGACCTATGGTTTACAAAGCCCAGTGGTCTGCCTTTGACAGTGGCTCTCAGTCAAGTTTAATATGAGGGTACAGTTGTATTCTGAATCCTCACCGTAAATGTCAACATGCTCTATTCTTTTACTCTATGTGAATGAAACTCATGACTATGACTACCAACTGTGTAATTTTAATTAATGACTCTTAGTTACCTTAAAATCTGTGTGCCTAATTTTTTTCACAAACATTGACTTGCCAGTTTCTATTACTGTTTATAATAGTAGATTTTGTTTAGTGTTATACATTGTTCATTTCAACATTCTCTGAAAATCAAGCCTCAACTCAGTGTAAGTAATATTTAACTAGTATTTCTATTATGTGCATTTTCAGTCAGTTGAAGAAGGACTTCCACTTTCAGCCATGATGGAATAGCAGTGACCAAATTAACCCTACTGACTTGGATCAACTAGAAAACCAGGCAAATAGAGATGAAGCAACTGTTTTTCAAACATTAAACCACAAGCAGTGCAGCCATTAAGTCTGAGAGATAAGAGACAAAAAAAAAAAGTAAAATGCAGAATAGCCACAGTTTTCTTCCTGGAAGCATATTTCAGGTCATAGAACAGTAGAGAGGAGGTGGGAGAGGGATGTTGCAAGCAGAGACAGTGACCTACTGAGTTGAAGAGACAAAGGTCAAAGCTCAGAACATCTGAGGAGGCTTGTCTTTGTAAGGCAGCTTATTGGAGATAAGAAAGCTATGCAGAAAAAGAACTCCACAGCTTTGCTTAGGAGTCTTTTGCACCTATGCTGATATCTAAAACTTGTATGCAAAAGGTAAAATTTCATAGGATGGGTAAAAGTTATTGGAAAGCTGCAACCCGAATGATTCCAAGACCTACAAAGGACTGAGAATCATTCAAGTTTCTGCCAGCAACAGTGAAGAGTCCAAATTGATTCCCTGAAGAATTAAATTTTGACATCACAAAGACCAGGCCTTAGTAATGGGGATTAATGATCCTTAGAGTTAAAGGTAGTCTGGGACCACTCTAGCAAAACTTAAAAACAAGTCTTAAGATGATTACACTAAACCAGAAACAACCCATGTGCCTATCAGAGAAAAGCATAACACTCCTTAAAATAATAATTAAAGAAAACCTTATTCAACAACATGAAATACACTGTTTTACCATCCAATCAAAAACTCTTAGAGATTTTTAAGAATTAGAAAAATATGACCTGTGACAAGGAGAGAAAGATGTAAAAATGAATCAAATGGAACTTTAAAAGATGAAAAGTATAATATATTAAAAATTTTAAAGTTCTCTAGATGGAGATTACAGGTACTAAGTCTCTTCAGAAGAACAGATTTGTGAATTTGAAGTATAAATAAAGAATATATAAAATGTAGTATAGACATAAAAATGCTGAAAAGAGTATACCGAACCTCAGTGAACTATTTGACAGTATCAAGCTGTTTAACATATATATCTGAAGTCCCAGAGAAGCTAACGGAAAAAATATTTAAAATTAAATGACCAAAATCTTCCAAATTAGATAAAATGATAACCACAAATATTAGAATCTTAATGAATCACAGGCAAAATAAATACATAGAAAATTACAACAGACATATAATCAAATTACTGAAAACCAATGAAAACAGAAAAATCATGGATCTGTCAGTCACTTAAAAAAATCTACATTTTGTCACAAAATGGAGTATAACAGTCAAAGAAATGTTACAACTAAAAAACAAATGACAAAAAAATAATATTTTTTCTGCACAGACAAAACTGTCTCTTTGTTTTTAATTTAGATGTTTGGATGGAGCTAGTGTCAAGTGTCTATTATTAAAGCTGCAATAAAATAAAAGATAAACTATAAACTGCTATTTCCCTATAGAAATCTCTGTAATGGATGGAAATTTCCATATCTGTGCTATTTAACAATGTAGTAAATAACCACATGTGACTTTTGAGCACTTGAAATATGGCTAGTGTGATTGAGGAGCTGGATTTTTAATTTTATTTAGTTAAAATTAAAGTCAAATTTTCATGGATTGCTCAGCTCAAAAAGGCTAACAGGTCTCTTGTCTTTGAAACTTCTAGGGTAAAAATACATCAGGAATAAATCTGGCTATTTATGTTTCACTCATACCTCAAGAATGGGTATGTTTTTGGACCTGAACACTTAGGAAAGGTATGAGGGTGTTATCTGTATTTCAGAAGAAAAATAAAAAGTTCAAGTATCTGTCATATGAGAACTAATTTAAAATTAAAGTTTTTTATTCTGAAAATATCAGACTGACATACTGAATGCTCTGTATAATCATAAAGAATGTGATTAGAATAAATGAAGTCTTTTAATTTGCATTTGAGATAGATTTCTATCTTTGAATCCATACAGAGTACACTGATTATAAATTAAAGGCAGCTCTAAAATGTGCTTTAGAAAAAATGTTTTTGGAGCAAACAAAATTAATTGACAGAAAATTGTACCCTTTTCCTGACTTAGTGGTCTTGAATTTCCAGTCTAATTTGGAGTCACTCAAATACTGGTATTGAATAAACAGTGAAGAACAATAATAAGTTCCTAGGTAATCAAGAGAGTCAGCCCAAAATATTAATATAGCATGGTATATTCAAAATCTCAAGAAAAGATGAAGGGATGCAAAAATGAGTAAGAAGTCAATCATAGTATTTTAAAGTGATCATCTCTTGAAGTCTAGAGCTATTTGTCAAACAGATAGTATAAGATTAAAATATGGCAAATGTTGAAAAATAAACAAACTAAAGTTGTCATTTCTGAAAAAGAGAGAGATCAGTCCTATTAAGTTAATACCAGAGAAACTCTCTTAAAGCATGTGATAATTGAACTAATCATTAAAGGATATTGCAAGAATTTAATTGGCATACAGTTAATTTATCAGTATACATTAGAGGACAGTTGTTTAACAAATATCTTTAACTCATTAACATGTATTTTTTCATTAAACAGGTTAATTTAAAATTGCTTATATTCATAATTTCAAAAAAAGAAAAATTGAACTGAAATAAACTAATATATTTAAGCATCTTTTTTTGGACAAAATAAAGAATATAAAAATGTCTTCCTTTATTCTTCAGAAAACC